CTACTCTAAGCAATAGGATTTCAGCAATTCTTGTGTCCTCTGCAGATCCAAATCTCCATGGTTCTAAATTTGGACACAGCAGAACCCAATATAGATACAGAAAGGTCACCAGTGCCTTTTAAAGTTCTTTCATAGGTGTGTTTAGAGAGATGCTAAAGCCTTTCAAGAAGATAGGTCGAGAGGAAGACTTGAGGGTTCCCTATTGTTAGATCAGCAATAGAGATGGAGGTATTCATAAATAAGAATATTCCCCACACAGGTGGCATTAACGAGGCTCCAGCCCCATGGGTCCGGACAGTCCACTCACCGATCCGCCACAGATGGCATGATTCTACCAATGGCTCTTCAGCGCGTGATCCGTTCGCCACTCCTGGCAGGAGGCAGGAGGACAAGCCTCAATGCCAGGCTGAAGATTGGCAACCGGGTGACACATTGTTGGAGCCATTGGTAGAATCACACTGTCCACATCAGATCAGTGAGCGAACCATCCAGCCCCATGGGGCTGGTCCTTCGTTAACGCCACCCGTGCAGGGATATTCGTATTAATACGTATATCCCATCTCTAATCAGCAAGCCAGGCCAAAAGACACAGGGTTAAGGCAGACGAGTTTCTGTCTGAGTGATAATCTATTATTCCTACGTTAAAAAGGTAAAGTGCTAGACATAAATACCTAAATGGAAGCTAACTGTTACATTAACATATTGATAAAGGTGGAAAACACGATGAATGGTAGAAACGGGGCTAGATTTCACAATTGTTTTTTATAATAATTTTTAATAATAAAATGTCTAAATGGCATGTTTGTTCTGTGTCCCAAAATGGAGAAGATATAGAGATAGATGTGTTTTTAATAGTAGGGCAGGGTAAAGTTCATCAGCTTCTCTTGCAGATATTAACTTAATTGCCACACAGCCAGTACACCAGACTCTCCCAACACAATGTTTTCAAGATGCTTTGGACAAGAGCTCCCATCATCCTTTGGCAGTATGGCAATAGCTGTGCCAGCAGGGGACAATGGGAACAGCCTGACATTTCTTAGCGCATGCAGTTGGCAAAACAGGGCTTTATGCTATCGGAGCTCTTCACTAGCTATTAGCATGATTTTACAGCTGAGAGAGGAGCGTGTATTTGGTGCCTGCAGAAATGCAGATGGCTGTGGGTATGCCTGGAGGGGTGGGACATGGGGAGGGGGCTGGGGGGGCAGAGGCCTTGAGCTCCCCCTCCTTGGCCTCTGAATGAGGGCGGGGGGGGAGACACTGACGTGATGGCCAGGGGGGGCCTGATCTCAGAGCTGCGATGCCCCTCCACCGGGCTGCTAAGTGATCCCTGTTGTTATTGGTGTCGTTCTAGCACTCGGGAATTAATAGCTCCGATGCGGAGGTGCTGACCCTGTATAATGTCACAGAGGCGGAGAGCGGGGAGTATGTTTGTAAGGTTTCCAATTATATTGGTGAGGCTAACCAGTCTGCGTGGCTGACGGTCACCAGACCCGTGGCTGAAGGTAAACGAGAAGAACACCACTTTCGGGGGCGCTTGCTTGGACCTAAGTGGTGGAAAAACCAAACTCCTGTGGATCTCCTGTTTCTTCTCTTGTTTCTGGTGTCGTAAGCCATGGAAAAATCCTTGGATTGGGGCTGATCAGTTCCGTTTCATGTCCTTTTTCTCACTTTTTCCTAACGCAGCGTTCTTTTAATCCTTCCTTCCTTTAAAAGTCTCCCAGTACAGTGGTGCCTCGCTAGACAGTTTTTTCGCTAGACATTGACTTTTTGCGATCGCTATAGCAATTCGCAAAACAGTGATTCCTATGGGGGAATTTCGCTGGACAATGTTTGGTCCCCTGCTTCGCAAACCAAATTCCACTACACGACAATTTGCTTTTCGCTAGACAATGATTTCGCTAAACAGCTATTTCAGTGGAACGGATTATCATCGTCTAGCAAGGCACCACTGTATTGGACAAAACAGAGAAATTATCCTCAAATTTCTTTTCCTCCAAGCTCTTTTCTTTTTCACACTGCCTTCTGTATAATTTTCATGCTACAGCAGCCAGAGAAACTCTTTTAATTTCCCGGTTTGTAACCAGTCACTTAAGTGGATTTAAATATCGTCGAAACTTAAATATGGGTTTCCTTTTTAAGAAAAACCAAAACAGCGTCAAAGGGCACGCTTGTGACTTTTAACTATTCAGCCCTGCCCATTTAAGATGGCCCAGCAGTGACTCACCGATTAATCTGCTCATTAAACTCATTAAAATAATATCATAATTTTAGAACTGCAGATCTGGAAGGGAAGTTATGAATCAGGGAATCCAGCCCCGGCCAAAGAGGCATCGTGGGGAATCGAACTCCCAACCTCTGGCTCCACAGCCAGATGCTAAACCACGGAGCTCTCCAGCAATGGGCAAGGGCTCATTTCTGTACTTCAGACTTTGAGTGCCTGGAGTGTTTTGCAGCCTCCCTTACGAAGCAAAACGGCTGTGTCTCTTGTGTGTGAGAGTGTGAGCATCCCTATATATGAAGCTGCCTAGCCTTTCTCTTCTCTGAATAGCTTAACCTTCCTTTACTCAGGTCTCTGTTTCATATAGTTCCATCTCCACCTATCTCTCTCTCTGCTCGTTCCTGTCTCATGAAACTGAGCTGGTCTTTTCCCTGTTCAAGGTTAGTTTTTCCATGTGGCCCATCACCAGCATGTTCAGATGGGCAGGGAAATTCAGTTTGGTGAAGGGTTGTCGTTGGTTTTAACATCCTCTGTTTAGGCCTGCCTGGATCGGAGGTTGTCCTAAGGCTCTCTGTTAAAGTAGGCCTGCCGTGGTGTCTGTTGCTCCTTAGGAGGTCTTGGGGGGCATGTCATCCCCTTCCCTCCTCCTCTTGCACCTTGGTTCCTGAAGGGGTCTTACGTTTGCTCGTTCTATTTCTCCCCTCCCTTTTATTTTCTCCTTTTCCTTTTTGCTTCCATTTTTTCCCCCTTTCTAGACGGCTGGTGTTAACACAACTGACAAAGAAATGGAAGTCCTTCACTTAAGAAATGTCTCTTTTGAGGATGCTGGGCAGTATACATGTTTGGCGGGTAACTCAATTGGGATCTCCCACCACTCTGCATGGTTGACGGTTCTAGAAGGTATATACGGGTCCTGTTCCTTTCTCTTGAGTCCTTGCTCTACCTCCCTTCTCCGTTTTGGTGATGAGCGTGTCGTGGTTTGCAAGAGCCATCCAGCCTTCTCAGAGGCAAGGAGGAGAGAAGAACAGAGGGTCCCTCATAAATTGATTCCCTCTTGGGAAGGAAGAGCTGTTTTTGCCACCTAACTGATGGGCAACTGGGCAGGGGAAAATGTGGCAATCTGAACTCAGACTAGGAGCTCGTTTGGCCAACCCATGATGTTCTTCTTTTGGTCCCTCCTCTGCCAAACGGAGGTCGTCTGAAGTCCACATCGGGCAGCTCTTGCAGGCCAAGCCACTGGGGATTTCCAGCTTGGATTGGGTCCAGGTTTTTTTTCCATAGGTCGGCTCCATTTTCTTTGACCCTGCCTGTCATACGCCCTCTGTGCTTTCCCTTCCGGCTTGCATCAGAGAAGCGTGGAAGCTCTCCTCATACCTCTTGGTGCTCGAGCTGTATCCTCATTGTGCCCTACAGGACTCAAAAAGTTTTAATCCTGATAGATAGGTGTGGGTGGCTTTAGGAAGACTACCCATACTCCACACAGATTAGAGGCAGTGCCAGATGTACAGTCCTGGGTTGTTTCATGATCGCAGCTTACAAAGTGGGAGATGGATTTCCACACGCATCCTAACTCTTCTCTGATTCCCACCAAAAATAAAGCAAGGCAAGCTGCTTATATACGGCCCCATAGTACTTAAAGCCCTCTCCGGGCTGTTTACAATTTAATTATGCAGACAACACATAGTCCCCAGGTAAACTGGGTTAATTTACCAATCTCAGAAGGATGGAAGGCTGAGTCTAACTCAAGTCTCAGTCCATTAGGATCAGACTCAAGTCGTGAACAGAGTCTTCCCCGCAGCATGGCAGTTTAACCACTGGACCATGAGGCTCCTAATGTGTGGGTTTTAAAAATAAGATACAAAACCAGTGAATGGACTGCAGTCACTATACCTTGTGTACTGTACTATTTGAGCAGGTTTACCTGATTATGCTGAATATCATGGCGTGCAACCCCTTCTCTTTTTTTCCTAGAGAATTTTCTGTGTTGTGTGTAAAGGGATATCCACAAGCTTGTGCTTGGGAAAAGTCCTACACGTTGAATGGCCTCTTTGAAAAAAGTCCAAAACCTTGGCTTATTGTGAAAGTCAAAAGAATCTCATTTGAGACTGAGGTCCACTCTGAGGCCCCACTCTGCCCACTGTGGGTGGGAGATTCACGGACCAATTCAGATCTGAGCCATAGGCCTCTGAGAAGGTGCTTCGAAATAGAAGTGAGAACCTTTTGACCATCCAAGAGCTTTGGCCTCCCATCAACTCTAACTAGCATCATCGTGCAAAACATCAGGATGGTCCAAGGTTTCTTGCACCTTTTCTTAAAGGATGCAATGCCCATTGAGTATGAAGTTAGGAAAACCGTTCAGGATGGGGGCTAGCCAATGACCATGCCTCACATCAGAGATTGCATCTCAATCTGGCGTGTAAAGATCTTTCATCGTTTTTTAAAAATGATTTCATTTTGGGTTCATGGTGCTTACGGAGGAAGTTCACCTCTTCCACCTTGCACCATTTCCCTCATTTAAATCAGTTTTCCTCTCCCAGCTGCCGTTCATCACCAGGGTGTGGCATATACAGATATATCTTTTTAAAGCAATCAATCAATTAATCAATTAATCAATTAATCAATCAATCAATCAATCAATAAATCAATAAATCAATAAATCAATAAATAAATAAATAAATAAATAAATAAATAAATAAATATGATGTTGACAGATCTCTTAGGCCATTATGCCTAGTTGGCCCTTTCTTTTCGATTGTGATCTACCACGTCTTTGTGGGAAGCGCTAGATTGACCTTTCTCAACCTGGCAACCCCCAGAGGCAGAAAGATCACAACCTTCATCATTCCTGTTAGTATATTTGGAGTATGCTGGGTTGGGGGTGGGGGAGACTGGATAGCAGTCTGTTCTGGGAGCCAGATTCCAGACCCTTCTGGTGGATGCCAGATGGTGATCCAAAGATGACTTGAGTCTTGGAGAGACAACCAGTGCTCCTCCTTTGCTTTGCCCATCTTTGGAGGCCATGTAGGAGATGGGAAGAATGCACAAAAGCATTGGTGCCCCAATGGGGACTGGCTACAGTGGTGCCCCGCAAGACAATGTTAATCCGTTCCATTGAAATCGCTGTCTTATGAAAACATCGTCTTACGAAATGCGATTCCCCATTGGAATGCATTGAAATCCGTTTAATGCATTCCAATGGAGAAAATAGTTGTCATTTTACAAAAATCGCCCATAGGGAAGCTATTATGTGAAGCGCCGATCAGCTGTTAAAATCGCTGTCTTGTGAAGCATCGGTCCCAAAAACACCCATTTTGCAAAGCACCGATCAGCTGTTAAAATCGTCATCTTGCGAAGCATCGGTCCCGAAAAAAAAGTCTTATGAAGCATAGACCGAAATATTGTCCAGTGAAAATCGCCCATAGGAAACACTGTTTTGCGAAGTGCAATGGCGATCGCAAAAACTCATCGTCATGCGGATTCATCATTTTGCGAGGTCATCATCTAGCGGGACACCACTGTATGTCCTTCCCTAGCTGCTTGGGGGCACCTCCAGCTGCCATAGGGAGTGAGGACAGGACAGGCAGGGCACCTGACTTTCCTTAGAAGGGCAAACCCACTTTTTTCACCTTGTTCTTGTTGCTTTGATCTCATTACTGTATACAAATTGCCATTTGGGTCTCTTTTGCGCTCACGCTGTCTTTCCACCAACCCAGCCATCGAAGACAAACCAGCCATGATGACTTCCCCTCTTTACTTGGAGATCATCATTTACTGCACGGGGGGTTTCCTCATCTCTTGCATGGTCGTGACCGTCATCATATACAAGATGAAGAGCACGACGAAGAAGACAGACTTCAACAGCCAGCTGGCGGTGCATAAGCTGGCCAAAAGCATCCCCTTGCGCAGACAGGTAACAGAAAGTAGATAGGGGGTTTGATTGCACCCTACTGCCCCCAACCCTCAACCCTACAAGAGGGCCCTGCCTGCCTCTCTAGCCCAGCTCATGGTGTTAAAATCCCAGACAGATTTCTGTGTGAATGCCTTCTGGCTTTGGGGAAAGGGAGAGGGTCTTGGGCCTAGCGAGGCTGTTTGGGTCACGATGGCAACAGAGATTATAGCTGCACACACCCACGTCTTCAAGACTTAACTGCTGTGTTCGAGCGTGAGCTTTCGTGGACAAGTCCACCTCTTCAGATGTGAGAGTGGGACGGCCGTGATGGGTGGTTTGCCCTGCATTCGCAGAGAGTTGGGTTCAGGGTACAGCCAGACATTGGGCTGCTTCTTTAATCCTTTGGTTGTCGAACTGGGAGCCCAGCTCTGCTGGTACGAGAAGGCAAGGTCACTCTCGAGACAGGTAGAAGAGGCCGCCCTGTCTAGCTTTTGGAGACAGGAGGGGAGAACGCCTCTCCCGGCTGGCGCAGGGTGTATGTGCTTAAGAGGACACAAAAGCATAAACTACAGGGGCTTTTGTTTCTTGGCATTGTTTTGCATTTTGGCAATACACATTCTAGCCATCCACAGTGCAGTCAGTATTGTTACTATAACTATTTGCACACTGCACTTTGAATAAGCAGGATGCTGCTCTTACGGTCTTGACCTTTCTCAGGTCAATGAACTTAATGCACTAAAAACAAAACCAGGTTAGGTGCCAAGGAAACCTGAATCCTTCCAGAATCCTTCACAAGTAATGCAGATTTAACCAATGTGTATTTATCCCCCATCAACCACTGGGAAGGTTGTTGTAGGTTTTTCAGGCTATTTGGCCGTGTTCTGGAGGTTTTTCTTCCTAACGTTTCACCAGTCTATGTGGCTGGGATCTTCAGAGGACAGGAGTCAGAACTCTGTCTGTGTTCTGGTGTAGTGTGTGGGATAGTTTTGCAGTTGTGGGATCAGCTTTTTTGTCCTTTTTAGGTGATCAGTGTGTTTTTTGTTATGGGTGTATTGTTGTGATAAGGGGGAGATGATCTGTGATTGATGGGTGTTGTTAGCTAGTCTATTGTATACAGTGATCACCAGTCCTTATGGCTGGAAATCCTATCCACTGGGAATCCTATCCAGCCCTGCTTCTAATTTATGGAATTAAAACAAGTGTTGTCTGCGTATGTTCAGGCAATATTTTACAGATGTAAATAGCTACAAGTTCCCCAGATAGTCCACCCCTTTCTCATTAACTGGCACTTAAGTTCTCCATAACTCACTCTGAGACATTTGCAGGAGAAAGAATAAAAAACGTTTCTTTACTTATAGTTGCTTGAAGTTGCAAACTTGGGTATGCTGCTTTCTTTACTGCATTCGTACTTAGCAACCAACTGAACAGAGCAACAGCAAACAAAAAACTGCCACCAACCAAGGAAAGAGAGGGAAAGAAACGCACACTAGAGAGGCAGGGCTCTGAATTCAAAGGATGGAAGGAACGCTTGGTTAGCGCTGAATAGATAGACAATTACCTCAGCCTGGAAAAGTTCCTCCCAGTCACTGAAATTACGGTCAGCATGCGAGGTTGCAAGCAAAACTCCAACAAGCTGGAGGCAGGGTGGGGATGGGAGTCCAGCCACGTAGCCCAGGTAGTTCTGCGGAAATACAATGGTAAGTCTTTAGTGGGGCAAGGGTGGTGTTCCCAGGAAGAAAGATGCCAACCACAGGGAGGCAGGCAGCCCTTCCCTCTCTCCGAGCCACCCTCGTCTGTTCCTGCAATCTTTTCCGAAGGTAACCCCCACATCCTTCTCTTTTTGGCTGCAGGTGTCGGCCGACTCCAGCTCCTCCATGAACTCGGGCGTGATGCTCATGCGTCCCTCCCGGCTATCTTCCAGCGGGACCCCGATGCTGGCGGGGGTCTCCGAGTACGAATTGCCCGAAGACCCCCGCTGGGAGCTGCCCAGGGACAGGTAGCGGATGCCGTTCTTGGCCTTTTCTGGGGGGCTTTTTTTCTCATCTGTGTCCCCCAAAGTCAGAGGAGAAATGCTTCTGGGCTTTTTGAGAGGAGAGGAGAAGCAGAATTTTTTTTTTTTTCTGCAAGACAGCATGTTTAGGGGGTTATTAGATGTTTTGTTTTCTTTGGTTTTGTCTTTGGAAATATATATTTTTTAAAAAAAGATGACCTTTTAAAAATGCTGTCCCAGGTTTAAAAACGTCCACATGCTTAGAAAATGCAGCACTGGTGAGAAAGGTAGTATCACACTTTTTGTTAGGGGACAGTGGTTTCCTGTGACTGTTTTTAGAACAAAGTGTTGCAGAATGAAGTAGTGCAGTCCTTTAATTCTGCTAGTAAAGGTAAAGGTTCCCCTTGACATTTTTAGTCAGTCGTGTTCGACTCTAGGGGGTGGTGTTCATCCCCGTTTCCAAGCCGTAGAGCCAGCGTTTGTCCGAAGACAGTTTCCATTGTCACGGGGCCAGCGCGATTTAGACCCGGAACGCTGTTTACCTTCCCACCGAGGTGGTCCCTATTTATCTACTCGCATTTACATGCTTTCGAACTGCTAGGTTGGCGAGGAGCTGGGACAAAGCGACAGGAGCTCACTCCGTCACGTGGATTTGATCTTATGACTGCTGGTCTTCTGACCCTGCAGCACACAAAGGCTTCTGCGGTTAATTCTGCTAGTTTGTGTTAAGTGTTAATTCCGTTATGTGTTGTTAAGTCGTTCTTCCCCCAATTTTAAGTACGGTCGGTATCTCAAGAATCCATGGCTGTAGCCCAAACTTCTACTGTGATTGCTTCAGTAATCTGAACAACTCAGGCATCTCCACTCTCCAAAGCATGATTGTGATCAGATGGCGACAGCCATAAAAACACGACACATTGTGTGTTAAGAGTAGAATTCTGACCCAGCCCCAGTCAATCAGGCTGTGATTGTCGAACTACTGAGTGATTTTTTTTTGTTGGGTCTGCAGCCAACATGATTAGACACCCAGGGATGGGAAAAGCTTTGAATCGCCTCCGCTTAAACAGAACATTGCAACAGAATTGGCATCTTCATTGACATGAATGCTCCCATCTCTGTAATTGCAACCTGCCTTCCTTCCTCCCTTCTAGGCTGATTCTAGGCAAACCCTTGGGGGAAGGCTGCTTCGGACAGGTGGTCCTTGCTGAAGCCATCGGGCTCGACAAAGACAAGCCGAACCGAGTAACTAAAGTGGCCGTGAAAATGCTCAAGTGTAAGTAATCCCCTCGAAAAGGGCTTCTCTTCCATGTCCCTTCTAAATTCAAAAGAGTGGCCTGCCCCGTTTGCTGCTGGTTCGCTGTTGAGAGACAAACAGTGTCAGGGGCCTTGAGTCTGTGGTGTCAGTGTAATTGTCCATTCTGGTCGGGACCAACGTTCGATCCAACTAGAGTGGAACTGTTGGAATCGGCACAAGTTTCTGCTTCTCTCCCCGTCAGCAGCTACGTTAAAAATGCATTCTGTGCTGTTTCTCTTCTGCTCTGCTATGGGAGTCTCAACCTTCTAAGAGGTTAGGAGTTCAATTCCCCATTTGTGTCTCTTGGGAGAAGAGCCAGCCTGGGTGGCCTTGGGCAAGCTGCACACAGTCCAAGGGTGGCCCCTAGAGGAAGAGAAGGGTAATGCACTTCTGTGTATTCTCTGCCTAGAAAACCCTGAAAATGGTCACCATAAGTCAGAGTTGACTTGACATCATATTATATAAGCTGGCTCAGTAGCTCAGTGCTTTAGATATCTGGCTGCAGTGCCGGAGGTTGAGAGTTTGGGAGCAAAACCAGCCTGTGTAGCCTTGGGCAAGTTGTGCAGTCTTAAGATGCTCCCAGAAGAAAGGAAGGGTGAAACACTTCTGAGTACTGTCTACCAAGAAAACCCTGAAAAGGTCACCATAAGTCAGAATTGTCTTGACGGCACACACTTAGTATTATTAATCCTGACTCACCAGGAGTTGTCTGTTTTTCCCCCTTCTTCCAGCTGATGCCACAGAGAAGGATCTATCTGATCTGATCTCTGAAATGGAGATGATGAAGATGATCGGCAAGCACAAGAACATTATCAACCTCCTTGGAGCTTGTACTCAAGACGGTAAGGATTTGGCACACCTGCTTATACGGTGGAGACTGTAGCTCAGTGGTAGAGCATTTGCTTTGCATGTGGAAGATGTCTTCAGCTAAAAGGGTCTGTTAGCAGGTAATGTGAAAAAGCTTTATCTCCCGGAGACCCTGGAAAACTGCTGCCAGTGACTATGGGCAGTCCTGAGCTAGTGAGGTAGCAGCTTCTTGCATTTTAATGCTACCTGTGCAATCATAAGCAGGAATGAAGGAAACGGGGCACTACAGCATCTCTTGTTATTCCCAAAGTGCTTAGAAAAGCAAAGACAGTGAGGGAAGTGTGTGTGTGATATAGCCTGTCTGGTGAAGTTCCCACTTCATCGAGCCCAGATTCACCCTGTGCCATGACTACATCGATTTGTGCTTTTTGTAAAGCTCTCCTGAAAAATTGGATGGATTTCTGTGTGCACAAAGATCTGTGTACACTGATTGGTGTGCACAAGGTTTTTTGCGTGCTACTGTGCCTAACTATGCATTTGACATGTTTTCCTCCAAGCTATGCTGTACTGGAGTGGTGCCAACCTTGAGTAACCCAAGTGTTCTCGGACTGCAGCTCCCAGAAACCGCCGACAACACAGCTGGTGGTGAAGACTTCTGGAAGTTGCAACCCGAAAACTCCTGGGGTTATCCAAGATTGGGGGCCACTGCTGTATTGAGGCACTTTCCTATAATGTAGGCATTTTTAATAAATCCATGCTGCACAATTTGGAGACTTGTAGAAATCAAAGGCTAATTGTATTCGGTTCAGGAAATGCAGAATAGGGTTCATTGAAATGTGAGCAAAGCAGAATTCTTTCCCATCTCTTCCTTGGCGAACATGAGCCCTGTGCAGGGTGCTTCTCCCTTGACTTCATAGAAGGCCCAGCAGAGGTGGTGCCATAGAGCTAAGGCCATGAAGGTAGGCGAAGCCAAATTCCAAGGTCAAATGGAAGAAGTTCTACATGGGTGGCCAGCTCAAGACACACACAGTGGCACTCATTTGTAGTACAGTGGTGCCTCGCACAGCGAGGTTAGTCCGTTCCGGATTAACCCTCGCTGTGTGAAACATTGCTGTACGGAAAGAAAAAAGCCATTGGAATGCATTAAACTTAGTTTAATGCGTTCCAATCGGCTGATTTACTCACCATACAGCGATGTTCCTCTATGGCCTGTAACCATTTTCGCGCCCTCCCCTCGCTTAACGAGGGCGCGAAAATGCTGTGTGCGGCCATTTTGGGGCTTCCGGCGGCCATTTTGTAGCCGCGGAACAGCTGATCGGCGGGTTGCAAAGCGAAGGTCAGTAAGCGAACCGCTTACCGACCTTCGCTCTGCGATTTTCGCCCATTGGGGCCGTTGCTCTGTGATTGCATTAGCGATCGAAAAAACGTCCCCGTAGAGCGAATTCATCACTCTACAGGGCGCTCGTTGTGCGAGGCACCACTGTATTGAATACCAATTCTGTAGTTGAGTACCAATTGTCTCTACTGCCTGGCAGGGGACAGCACCCAAAATGGGGCCCATTCAGTTAGGTACTGGAAATGCCCAGACAGACTGTACTAGGATGAAGACTGCACTGTTGTCTGAAGTAAGGCCCTGCTTTGTTCTCTTTATCAGGTCCACTCTATGTGATAGTGGAATATGCTTCCAAAGGGAACCTGAGGGAATATCTACAGGCTCGGCGGCCCCCAGGCATGGAATACTGCTACAATCCCACCCACCTCCCCGAGGAGCAGCTCTCCTTCAAAGACCTGGTGTCCTGCGCGTATCAAGTTGCCAGGGGCATGGAATACCTTGCCTCCAAAAAGGTGAGAAATCCCAATGGGAAGGAAATGTAAAGAATAGCCAGAAATCTTAATAAAGGGAACAAACTGTCCAGAGAAAAGTATGAGGGCGGTCCAAAATATGTCTGGAACCCCGCAGGACTTCATGTCAGGTTTCCAGCTAATTGACAAGAGGTCAATTGATCAGTCAGGCATGTGACAAAGCATGCAACTATGAGAAGTGCTGGCAGTTAGTCGCAATTAGCTGCGGTAAAGTTACACAGACCTTAGGCAAACACTAGTAGAATTCTGGGCAATGTATATAATTTAAGGAACTTATCTAACACAGGTTTTTGTAAAAATTAAAAACCCAGCATATTATGATTCTAGTAACTTCTCCACATCTACCGGTACAAAGAAAGCAAGAAGGCTCTGCTGACATTTGGATGCTGCATTTTATTATAACACACATGGTGTTTTTTTTTAATTCCTTTGCTATGGTCACATGTAATTGGACTTGCCACTCTAAGCAAGTTTTTGCTATTGTTATCGTCAATTAGATATTATTATTAACTTTTATTATTGCTATTAATCATAATGAGCCTGTGCGGATTTCTGTGGAAAAGCAGACTAAAATGCAAATGTGGTAGTTAGGGATAGAAGTCAGAAGACTCTTGGCATTCAAAATCTGAGGCCACAGCACCAGTTCTGTGCGGTAGGGGCAGGCAACACATGTAGCTCACGGGCCACCGGGCCTGCCCCTGCTGTACAGAATTGTTTGGGTTTAATAGTATGTGTTTAATAGTATTGAGATTATCTTGGTATGGATTGTTGCTTTTTTGGTGTGGTGCCCACTATTCATGTATTTACGGTACTTGTATCCTGCTTGATGCAGTGAAATCTCTATGCTTCATTCATTTACCCCCCTTTTAAAGCATTTCAGCCCTGTTGCTCGCCAAGAAAGGATCTCATGTAAGGCTTCTTTGGGCTGATTTGTTCTTTAAGGTCCCTGAACAGACTGTGTCTCTTCCACAGTGTATCCACCGCGATTTGGCTGCCAGGAATGTTCTGGTGACTGATGACAACGTGATGAAGATCGCCGATTTTGGCCTGGCTCGAGATATCCATCACATAGATTATTACAAGAAGACAACAAATGTGAGTGGCAAGCCCAATGGAGGGAATCTCATTATGCTGAGCTCCGACCATCAGGTGCCCAGGCTGTGCAATGTTCTACTAAGATCATTGCATGGTGGGCTGACAGAGATGGAAATTTTGGTGTAAGCTTTCTGTAGATTTGCATCTTCCAGCACCAAGATAATAGGCTGCCTAGAAATTATACCTTTAGTGCTCTTACCTCCCCAGAAAGTGTGCAGGATACATTTAATTATGTCTGTGGCAAATAAAGTTAGATTCCTGGCATCAGGAAGTTGTGCTGCTTAAGAAGATGTGTGTTGATGAGCTTAATTTCCATACTCTGCTTCGCTTCGACCTGTCACAGAGAGTGGGGAAAAACACCGGTGGGTGCAAAACTCAGCACACGGAATTGTCCTCGTTTCCCAGTGTGGTGATGAATAGTTTCTGTTTCAAAATGGAGCATTCTGCAGCACCTTTTGATTAGCAGATACAAATAAATTGTGACACCCATGCTGATACATGTCCCCCCGTCTTCATCAGTGTAAGTTTTGTGATCGATGAAGCCAAGGTGTAGTAAAACGAGGAAACTTGCCTTTATCTTGCCTCTTTTCTGGAGGAGAAGCTCCAAAGGTGTGTAAAGGGAGTTACCTCCCCAGATGGCCTGCCATCCAGAGATGGACTGCACTCAGGCCTCCTTACCTTTGTGCAACCCAGGTAACTTCATGCCACATGGCAGATCACCCTGTAAATGATGGGGTGTCTTCTCTCGGATCCGTAGGTTCTGCAGAACTAGCCTTTCATGCATGAATGTGGTAAGAGCAGCAGGAGGGAACAATAAACATCTTCCGGTCTGCATCATTGATTGGCACTAGATGCTTTGTTGAGCTATGCACCACAGCCTCAGAGCAATCATGCCATACAAGTGCACCTCATCCCAAAAGCCACAGAACACAGACCTTGTAAGTCAGTTTGGGGAACCTGTAAAGAAGTGCCCTCTGTTCCTCTCTGAATTGAAACCAGGCTGACACCTATTCGGACAATATACACAGAGGTAGATCTAAATTATTCTGCACACATTCTGCCCAGGGAGGATTGAAGACAGAGCTAAAGCTGTTCTTTCAGCAGCAGTTTCTAAACCGCTCATTGAACAAGGATACGTGGTGCCAAAGAACAACGTGCTTTAATTCAATTTGATGGGTACATGACTGGCTTTAAGCAAGCCTGCGCCATGGTGTTGTATTTTTAAGTTGATTAGTGATTATTGCAGGTTTCTCCTACCAGGCCATCAAAACTCTCCAGCTAGTAAAGCAGCTGAAGTGTCTAGGATTTCAGCAGATTCCTTTTTAAAATATTAAAGGTGCTTTACAGAACGTGCTATGTAACTTCTTACATCCTGAAATGAATAGACTGTGTTTTCAAGAGTAAGTACCGTTGTGTGCTTTTATATGACCTTTGTCTTATTGCTTTCTTCTGAGGGTCTTCAAAAAGCAACTCTTTCTGGTTCTAATGTGTGCCTGTAGAAAGGCACCTGTGGAACTGCTGGCTAGCTCAGTGGTTTCGGCCTCTGGCTGTAGAGCCTGAGATTGGGGGTTCGATTCCCCGCTGGGCCTCCTTCACAGGGTCTGGACTCAATGATCCATCGGGTAACTTCCAGCTCTGCAGTTCTTAGATGACGATGAACACATCACTCTTAAGAGACTTGAGCGTCTTCAACAAGCTGCATAGTGCTAGGGAAAACAAAACGTCCTCTGAGGTCCTTACCCGGTTTGACCTGCAGGACATTTTCCTTCCTAAGTTAAAAATGAGAAATCTTCATGAAGCATAATCAGTGCATTCTAACACTGGTTTCGTGGGACAAGCTTGCAACAGATGGGGAGCCTTTAAGCGATCAGCTGTATCCAGATGTTCCCCCACCTCTTTGTTTTTATTTCCTGTTACGTTACCTTTTGCATTCTTCCCACCCAGCCCCCTGGGGCTACCCCTTTCCTCCACAGCTTTGGATTGATGCTGTGGTCTTCCTTGCATTGTAGGGTCGCTTGCCGGTCAAGTGGATGGCCCCCGAGGCTCTGTTCGACAGGATATACACCCATCAGAGCGATGTGTGAGTATCTAAGGCTGCTTCGTAGGAGGGACATAGCAGGGCGGCTTCAGCGAGTGCATCCGTTCAGCCGGCTAGCCTCCACGGCCTCTCATCCCGCCCCATGAGACGTCGCACAGAGTTCTTTTCCAGCCCGGCTGCCATTCTGAGACTGGCAATGCCAAGACTGAAGCCTGTGCCCTGTCGTTCAGCGAAGGGCCCTCCGGCCCCCAGCGGCCACCTGCTTCGCCCACTGAAGGGGTCCATCTCTGGATGGGAGTCTCGGGAAGCTTGGAAGGGTCCAGAGAAAGAGCACTGCCCGGAGTTGCTTTCCCAGTATCTAAGATGATGATGATGACAGTAATTAAAGTCATCTGCTGATTTGTCCTCCCCAACCCAATGTATGTCTCCTTCTGCTTATTGGTGTGTTTGTTGGTTTATTCTTTACTGCTTTCCGCCCCCTCCTCCCCCTCTGTGTGCAAATGGCAGCCCCTTCAGCCTCCTGGCATCTCCAATTAAGCCTGGTATCATGGATATTATCCCCAGTGGTGAAATAGACCAGATGTGATTCATCTTAGCTTAATGAAATGCTAATTAGTATAAGCAGGGACAGTATGTTGAGCCTGTGCTATCGGGCAGCGGGGTTTGTCTGACGCCTACGGCCAGCTCCATCTTTATTACCCGTCTTGGGTCATCCGCTCTTTAAGCTCTTTGTGGGCAGGATCTGCACTTTCCCTTCCACAAGAACCTAAACAAAACAAAACAAAGCAAAAAACCAAAAGATTATTGGAGCAGCTCATGAAGGAAGGAGAAAATCTATCCAGAACCCCAAGGTGACTTGATAGTTTACTGTGGAATAGAAAGCGCCACGGCATAAGAGAGGGCAGGACTGTCCCCCTCATTTCAGTCTTGTAAGCTCCTCCTAAGAAAGTCGCTGGATGCTCTTCAAAACAAGAGCTGGCTCTCCTGACCCAGACGATCCTCAGCAGGGACGGTATAATCACAGTCAGGAAACTGCTTAGCCATCGTTCTTGCTTCTCAGCATTTTAGGTTACAACCTTTTGTGGCTTCCATTTTTATCTTGTATGCGCAAACAGAGACACACACAGCCCAGAGTGGTGCACAACATGGATAGTATGAAACTGTTCTCTTTAATTCCTAATAAACTGCCCAGAGTGACCTTGGCAGTGAGATGGGCAGGATAAAAGTTGAAGGAAGGAAGGAAGGAAGGAAGGAAGGAAGGAAGGAAGGAAGGAAGGAAGGAAGGATGGAAGGAAGGAAGGAAGGAAGGAAGAGTTTATATCGTGATAGGGCCTCGAGGTTTCTGGCTAAGCATTAGGGAATGTTTTTAATGCTCTTACAAGCTGCTGAATGATTGGTTCTCTGAGGAGAGATGGAGGCAAAGAGAAAGAATATGAAGTTGACTGGAAAGGCAGGGAATTTTAAAATACAGATTTAAAAATTAGGATGACCTCTACCAAGTGGAGAACGTGTCATTCTGATGAAGAGGAGGGGAGGAATGCAGTGAGTTGTTTCAGGAGGCGAGATATGCTCCTGCCTTTCCCCCCACCCCTTGTGTTTTTAAGAGGGGAGGTTGATGCTAGAACCGTCATTCCCCAACCTTGGGTAACCCCAGTGTTCTTGGACTGCAACTCCCAGAAACCCTGGCTAGCACAGCTGGTGATGAAGGCTTCTGGGAGTTATAGGTCAAGAACACCTGTGTTACCCAAGATTGAGAGCCACTGTGTGCTAGATGAGCTGAGGAAGTCATGCTTATAAGCTACCCCATAGTGCTAAAAGCTCTCTCTGGGTAGTATATGATTTCTGCAAGCTCCACATTTCACCTCCACCAGCAACCTAGGTACAGTGGTGCCTCGCTTAACGGGCACCCCGTTTAATGACAAAACCGCATAGTGACGAAGATTTTTGCGATCGTTTTTGCGATTGCATTGCGATGTTCCCTATGGGGGGAAATCGCTTTGCGATGATTGGTACCCTGTTTCACTTACCGATCATCGCAAAGCGATGATTTTTTAACAGCTGATCGGTGGTTCCAGAATGGCCACTGGGTAAACAAAATGTCCCCCCGCTGTGTTTTCGTGCCGATTCCTCACTTACCGGGCAGCGAAAATGGTGGCCGTATGGAGGATTTTCGCTTTAAGGTGAGTTTTAAGCCCATAGGAACACATTGAAGGGGTTTCAATGCATTCCTATGGGCTTTTTAAAATCGCATAGCGACGAAATTGCTTTGCAGCTATTTTTGCTGCACCGATTATCGTCGCTATGCGAGGCACCACTGTACTAAATTTAGTGACCCTGGAGGGATGAAAGACTGAGTCAACCTCGAGCCAGCTAGCTCAGCCCATTGGGATCAAACTCAAGTTGTGAGCAGAGTCTTGACTGCAGGACTGCAGTTTAACCACTGCACCACAAGAAAGAATACACACACCGTATATTTAAGTATCTCCTGCACAGTGCTGTATCAGATGTCAGAGCCCTGTCCATCTGCATGGGCATCTCTTTTTTTGCGTGGCTTAACATGTCCTGTCTTTGCTCTTGCACCAGATGGTCCTTCGGTGTTCTGCTGTGGGAGATCTTCACTTTGGGTGGATCGCCGTACCCGGGAGTCCCCGTGGAAGAGCTTTTCAAGCTGCTGAAAGAGGGGCATCGGATGGACAAGCCCAGCAATTGCACCAACGAACTGTGAGTGTCGGCGCCTCTTGCAGGAGTGGAAGGCAGGGTCGTGGCTCTAGACTTCAAATGCATGTGGTTTGATCAGCATCCAGATTCAACCATTCAGAGTTGACATCCTGCCCAAGAAAGTCATAAGTAAACACAAGAGAGCTCCCCGCCCTTGATGCTCAGCAAACAGATGGTCTTTATTTTCCTAGCCTTTTGCCAAATGGGATGTTGGTTGTTAACAAACCATCCCAGAGCCTCGGGGCTACGACGGCGAAGGTCCTGCTTCCCTTTATGTTTGGACCTCCTACTGCGAGGGCGTGTGAAGCCGGGTGACCTGTGTTTTGTGCCCAAGGGCCGGCCTCTTTCTAACATGAGTTCTTCTGGGATGATTTCATTGCCAAGATGGAGAGAGAGAGAGAGAGAGAGACCGAGAGCCCACGTTCAAAGCTCTGTTGAGCTCGGCAGCCCGGCGGGACAGAGCAGAACCCCTGCTGACTGGCAGATGCCGATTACAGTGACTGGCAGCAGTTCAGCATTATTTTCCCAGCCTTGCTCAAAGCTGTGCGTGATAATCAACCAAGACTCCTTTCCTCTGTATTTGTGTGTTTCTCAGCAGGAGAGTATCCCAAACTGACCCAGGGGTAAGGTTGCCGCATCGGGAACTCGCATCATCTTTTGTACTGAACAAACCAACCTCCACCCCTCCCCCTTGTTGTTCTGCCCAGTTCCACCAATGGCTGTCGTCAAGGGGTCCCCTCCCTTTCCCCCCCCCCAGTTCATGAGAAGGATCGGTGCTCAGTCCTGAGAAACGGCTCATGCAACACGCAAACTAGCAAGCATCTCCATAAGCTCCCATAAGGACACTGTGGGCATTGTGGTGTCCGTGGTTGGCCTAGGCAGAAACCCAACGGTCAAGAAGGCTAGATACCTGTTTCGGGTTACATTCGTGTCTCGTGTACTGTATAGCCTTTAATAATTATTCTGAAAGTTGGTCGCAAAACTTTTACTAGTCTTTAGTGTCTTGGAAAGTCTTGGTTAATTAAGCCTGTTGGTTGTTTGTACATCTGTCTACTGTCACGAAATTGACAGTGGTTGGGTTTTTTTTGTAATTTCTAAAAAGTATATAGGAACTGCTGGCTGGATAGCTCAGTGGTTTAGGTACCTGGCTGCGGACACAACGGTTGGGAGTTCAGTTCCCCACCGTGCAAATGGCGAGCTGAGAAAGTAAACGGATGGCGACCCCTTGAAAACAGAAGAGGGGCAGGGTCATGTCATTACAATGTACGAAAACAAGCAGGGCTATAGTAGATGCAAGGGACAAAGTGCTGGACTTGAATCTGGGGCTCATGAATGGCAATGGAGATTCTTGGTCTTCTTTCCAATTCATGCTTTTGATACAGCTTTTGTCCTCCTCTCTTCTTCCCTTTCTCCTTCTGTTTGGAAACCCTAACTGGAGTGTTGCCTGCGGACATGAGCTCATTCCACGTTCTCTCTTTCCAGATACATGATGATGCGAGACTGCTGGCACGCCGTCCCCTCCCAGAGACCCACATTTAAACAACTGGTAGAAGACCTAGATAGAATCTTGGCCATGACCTCTAACCAGGTAAAAGTCACAGAAAATCCAAGCTCCAAAGACCAAAAAATCTGAATAAGGGGGATTCTTCTGTCTTTATCTGAAATCTCTCTTTGTTTCTGATTAAGTTATGGATCCAGCTTCTAGGTTCTCAGTCGTGGAACAGTGTGGACTTGAAATCAGTGGGTTCAAATCCCGCAGAGTCATCTTTTTGGCTTTGTCTTCAAGAGGTTGACGGAGTGGAGATTCCAGTGTGACACATTGGGTCGAGATATCCATTAGGGCAACCGTTCCCAACCTCATGTCCCCAGATGTTCCTTTACTAAAACTCCCAGAAGCCTTCCCTCCGAGCTGTGCTGGTCAGGATTTCCGAGAGCTGTCATCCAAAAACATCTGGGGACGCAAGTTTGAAACCACTGCATTAGAATCAACTCCATTTTGGCTCCCTCCTTTTCTGAGGTCTGCTAGTCTTTGGACTTTGGGTAGATTTGTATGGAAGGTCATTTTGATGGTCAGAGTTATTTTCTGGTCTATAACTCCCAGATCCCAGAGTTTTGGGAGCTGTAGCTCAACAGGTGTCCTTTCTTTCTGATCCACCTTCTCTCTGGAGCTCTTTTGATAATAATTTCCTTCAGATGACTTTCTCTCCTTGACTTCCCATTTCCTAGCCTGGAGCAGGCCAGCTGTTACTCAAGCTTCCACTCCGTACCCGATTCCTCACGATTCTTTCACTCTCCTAGGAATACCTGGATCTCTCCATTCCACTGGACCAGTATTCTCCCAGTTTTCCAGACACCCGCAGCTCGACCTGTTCTTCAGGAGAGGACTCTGTGTTTTCCCACGACCCCCTTCCCGACGAACTTTGCCTTCCGAAGCACCTGCCTCAGCTTGCCAACGGCGGACTGAAACGCCGCTGATGCTGCCCCTTCTGCGGGACTTTTGTGAGCCCTTTGTGCATACAAGTGTGGGGTGTATGTGTCCATGAATGAAATGAATGTGCGTGCATAGGGATGCGCACTTCCCTTCCAGCTGGACTGGTGGTGGAGCGCCAGTATTGACGGGCTGCAGAGATGCCAGTCTGAGTAACCAAACTCGCCAACCGCCACCCTTCTCTCCACTGCTTGCCATTCTTGCAAGCCCTCCACCTCCAGAAGACGGGTTTGTAAGGCCAACCGCACATCGAATTCAATAACTTCCCGAGGATTAAGGTTAAGCTGTTCTGTTCCCCCTTCCCACTGCCTCTCCTCTTTTCCTTTTGGCCCGTGTGACCCTCGACAAAATAAGAAAACCGGAGGCTGGTTCCTAGACAGCAACACCCAGTCACGTCCCCAGGAAGGATCCTGAAAAGAACAACATTCCTATGAACAGGGAAAGCTTTTCCCCCTTCTCTTGTCTTACTTGCACCAGAAGGAAGCCGACCTGTGAGAACTCAATAAGCTAAAACAGCAGAGCCGAGGTGTAACGCCTGCAGCACCTGGACGTTCCATATCCACCTGCAGAGTGGAATGTCTTAATCCAGGTGTGCAGTCACGTCGGTTGTTCTTGGTGTGCGGTCCCAATCCCCGAACCCACGCTGTGACAGCTTCCTCATTCCAGTACTCTTACAGCACAGTCCTAGGCATCTCCGCTCGGGAGTAAACCCCTCTGTTTTCAGACAGGTGGGGGCTTACTCCTGGGGAAGGTGCCTAGGATTGTGGCCTTAATTCATGCTTTCCTGACCAAAACCCAGCAACCACCGGGTACGGCAACCCCTCTTCAGAGCACCGACGCGAAAGGAGGGCAGCCCGAGGACATCCATGCTCCGGAGATCAAACTAAAAAAAAAAAAATCTCATGTACATAGCTGCAAAATGTATAAATATTAATTATATATTTACATGTCTTTTTTTAAAAAAAAAATTTGGTTGTTACCAGAGATAATATCACTTGGGTAGTCAGTTTCTAGTGGCTGGTAGGTATCAGTTGCTATATAAAAAAAGAAAATCCCCAACAAATCATATATTTTGCTACTTTTGCTGTTTTTTGTTTTTGTTTTTAAATTATGTTCTAAAACTTATTTCGGTTTAGGTACGTCAATAAAAATTGCTGCTGCTTCCGTTTTCCATGGGGCTATATTAAACAGTGGTGTGTGTCCATTCACTACTGATGTCTTTGCTGAGACGTTCAGCCATGGAAATAACCTTCTCTCCGGTTCCCGGCATCTCCGCCAGCTTCTGCTGTGCCCCCTGCTTTAGCCACGCACCGTACCCCTTTTTTGGGGGGGGAGGGGGAGGGGAGAGGGGGTCTAGCTGGAAAGCCTTCCATTCAGCACACGGCTGCAAGAAACAGGCACACAACTTGTTTCGACAGATTTCGAAATCCCTGGCAGGTTGGCCAGACGGGGTGGATAGCCAGCCCAGTCCAGCCTTAGCCCAGCTCTCTCTGTGCTTTGCAGGGGGGAGCGGCCCATGGCCTTTAGGGACTGGGGGACTCATCCTGCAGGAACAGGTGATCCACAGCTGACCTTGCTTTGGCCGCCAAGGACTCAGAGCCAAAAAAACGTTCAAGCACTGAGGGTGGTCCTTTGGACAAGTAAACCTTGCCTGTTCTTGGTGCGTCACCGAAGGGGGACTCGGAGTGTGCCTTAAAAGAAGCCACAGGGCCGGTGTGTCCTTCCTGTCCTTCACTGGAGGAATACAAGATGAGAAAAGATCTGTCTTTTATCACAAGGATTCTGCTTGCCCCGTGCCACACCTCATCGGAAACAACAACCAAATGGAGTCAGCGTTTCTCCTTGTTTTTTCCAATGGTCTTTTTTTTCACTTCTCCCTCTCCTGATTTATTTTATTTTAAAAAAACCTTCTTGCCTCTTAAATCCCTTTTTTGGAACCTTCCCTGAAACGCCCTCCTGCAACCATCTTTCGCTTCATGGCCTGTCTATACAATGGAAACCAGAAAAAGGACCCTTCTCTTTCTCCACTGCATTACACTCCTGCACCAGCACTCGCCACACATTCCCTGTGTGTACAGAATCCATGCAACGGTTGGCTGCAGATCCGATGTCCAGAGTCCTGGGCCCGGCCCTTGGTCCTCTCCTCCTGCCTTCTCTTGAGAGAGGTCTCCATGCAAAGTGGTCTAAGAAACCTATTTTCCCTTCCTGTTACCCTGCAGAGGCCAGAGGCATGCCAGTCAGACTCGAAAGCATATCCTGCTTTTGTACAGAGTGAGATTATTGTGGTTTTTTAAAAAATTAAAACATTTGGAAGTCTTGTAATTTATTTTCTTTGGGTGGGGGGGAAGGGAACTGCTTTCACCAAAAGTCCTAGAACTCTCTTGACATAAGTTGTGTGCCTCTCCCCCCACTCCCCAGAACATGGGCGGAAATGAGAATAAATCATACACACTAAAGGCGATTTTCCATTGTTTATTTAAAGCCCAGAAATCAATGAGTTTTTGTCCTTTGGAGTTGAACATCTTTAAATACCCAAGGGTCTACTTGTTAAGCTGCCACTGGAGACACTGAATTCCAGGGTGGGGCTTTGATTGTCCAGTTGTCCTTCCATATTTATCGGGGGTCTCGGAGAGCAGCGTCTTGTTTGTTTGTTTATTTTTTATTATATATCCACGTAAGGTGTTCAGTCAATCACTGGTCAATACCGACAGCAACATTATTTTCTATCTTACCCTCGGCATTTCCAATTTGAAAAATTCACCTTCTGAAAAATGGTCATGACACGCTGAAGGGCTTCAAAATCACTCTCGGCACTGCCACAAAATTGTTTGAATTTGAGCCATATTATGGGATGGGTAGAATTGTTCCCAGCTAGGCTAGATAACTCAGTGGTTTCGATATCTGGCTGCGGAGCCAGAGGTTGGGAGTTTGATTCCCCACTTGTGCCTCCAGGGAAAACAGCCAGCCTGGGTAGCCTTGGGCCAGCTGCACAGCCCCAGGGCGCCCCCTAGAGGAAAGGAAGGGTGAAGCACTTCTGAGTATTCTCTACCTAGAAAACCCTGAAAAAGGGGTTGCCTTAAGTCGGAATTGACTTGATGACACATGATGATGATGATGATGATGATGATGATGACGACGACAACGATGACAACGACAACGACAACGACGATGATAGAATTGTTCCCAGATCTTTGAATGTTGCCTCATATTTTGCAACCTGATGTTAGTTTGCAGTTCTCCACATATCTTCTTAGAAGCAAATCACAGTTCAGAGAAACAAGGAGTTGGCTCTATGTGAACACTGTTACCTCATTCAGTAAAGCAGTGGGTTGGCTTTATGTGATATCTGGTGTGGTCACAGGGGAGAATTCAGAAGCCTTCATTTCCATCATAAATTAACCAGTTAACTGCTGTATCCAGAGCAGGATAAACTGTGATTAGTCTTAACTAGGTTTTGGGAAGCAAGTCACATGCAAACTTGGGTAATCCATCCTGGTTTGTTCCTTTAAACCAGCCTTCTCCATTCTGGTGCCTTTCAGATATTTTCAACTACTAGCATACATCATCCTCAGTTGAAGTAAGAATTCAAACGCATGCCAGTGAAGGAAAAGGGGAATCTATAACCCCAAAACTCATGCATGCAACGCCAAAACATAGTTTAGCATTATAGCTCAACAGAGCAGTAGATCTTAAATCCAAACAAACATGGGGCGCATTATCTTGGAGGGGTCCCATGGCACCAAACACTGTCCAAGACAGTATAGCATCAGCAGGTAATTCAAACAAGATGCCCAACGAAGGAGGGTTATAAAAACCTAAATAGTAGACAGTTTTCTCTTTTTTTTTTACATATACCCGAAGGTTGGGCTTCATTGACTTGATTCTCATGCACATCTTAAATATCCGTACTTTTAAAATCTGGAAGCGTTTGGCTGGACTTAATCTCCACGATGCATCTCTTAGCCTAGGTCCAGAGTTCAGTTGTTCACAGAGTAGGTCTCGGAAGCCATAGCAACAATGGTCTTCGAGGCTGTGTTCTTACAGACGCTTCCTGTTTGTTCTCTTTCAAAGACCTCCCCTGTCACGGCAATCTGTTCTGCAGGACTGCCTGTCCTCCTCAACTTCCACGTAAATGTCCTTCAGGGCCAACCCCACCGCCTGTGTTGCTCTTAGGGGGATGCGGGGAACGCAAGACATGGGCCCCTGTTCAAGCTCAGCCAAGAGACCTGGGTCTCCTCCGTTGCTTCCATCAGGCAGGGTTTGACCCCTTGGTTGTTTCAGAAAATGCAGGAAATTAGCCATGGGCTATGAGAGGCCAGATGTTCTGGCAGCGCTGTGTGTGTTGCTTTTCTCTCATGAAATAACTTCATCCCAAGGACAGATGGGCTCTTGTTACTTCCTGAAATGTGACCAATTGAGCGTGGAACTTTAACTGCTTCTCTGCTGGACCAGAAAGCAAATACCTCCCAGGGCGGTCGGCTTTTGTCTTTTCAGCCTCTCGGGCACGGAACTGGCTCGCTGAACTCGGAGATGGCCTCAGCTGGCAGCGCCAGTCATGCTTCGTTTTCCTCCTCGTCTGTGGTTTCTTGGTCGGTGATGTTTTGTATCTGCTGCCGATGCACAGATGGGCCTTCTCCTTCTGCAGCCCTTCGCTCCCTTCTTGGCTACAACAAGCTGTTCCTCGTACAGCCACCCAACGGGAGCCTTCGAAGCCAAATCAAATCACTCCAGCATTCTGACTCCTTGACCATCAAAACAGGATACAGGCCATTCCGAACAGTCTGAATGACTGACCTCCAGCACGTCCTGCCCTCAACAGCTTAGCTCCTGCAAACTCCAGCCTGTGGCTTCTTTTAGAAAGTCAGATCTTGCATTTGGTCTTCCTCTTTTCCTGCTGCCTTCCTTCTCTTTCCCCAGCATGATGGTCTTTCTCCAGAGAATCCTACCTTCTCGGGATGAGCCCAAAGTAGGACAGCCTCTGTTTTAACATTTTTGCCCCCAAAGATATAGTTCAGGCTTAGTTTGATCGACTTGTTTGTCTTTCTGACCGTCCAGGGGATCCACAAATATTTGGATTTCAAACAAAACCATTTTTTCTCCCTTTTGGCTTTCTTTACTGTCCATCTTCCACACCCATACAGGGTGATCAGGAATACAAGAGTGTGGATGATGTTGGCCTTGGTGTCTAGCGACACATCCTTACCCTTGATGGTCTTTTCTAAATCCTTCCTTGCCACCCTTCCGAGTCTCAGATCTGGTTTCTTGCCTGCAGTCTCCATTTGGATTGATGTTTGAACCAAGACAAACGAAATCCCTAGCCATTTCAATTCTTTTCAACTTCTTCTTTTTCTCTCGTAACCCAACTAGCACTTTGGAAATGCCTTCTAGGGTGTCCACGTGCTGATTACACCACTGTTCCAAGAACTGGATTTGAAATCTTCATCATAGAGGAGGTTATCTTTGCCCCTTAATTTTACCTGCGTCTATAATCTGTTGATGCTTTGCTTATGACATGATTGTTTCTTTAGCTTCATGATGGGCTGCACGTAGATCATTTACAACTTGCTTCATAATCATTTTCCAATTGTATCTAGTGCAAACTGTTTGTTCTTGGATTGCATTTATGAATCCTTCTGTTTCAGCCTGAAGATGGCCTAATATAAGCCACAGGTCTGATTGTCGCTTATCAACATTCTCCTCCAGAAGGTAACTGGAGTGCTGTCCATGAATGGTTTCTCAAGCCATGCATCCTTGCCCTGTGGGACTTCAATTAATGTAGGTTGGTTCTGCCTTGCAACTTAAGATACTGTTTGTTTCTCCCCCTCACTGTCCCACACGGTGTGTGTGGGGGAAACATATGGAGGTATTAGCCTGCATGTGCCTATGGAGATGGTCCACATCACAAAATGTTTCATCATTTTATGAATGGAAGCTGTATCTTGGGATAACATCCATGACATTCTGTGAAGAAATGTTTTCCACACTGCAAAGAAAAACTGGACAGTTTCTGGTGCTTGGTGTTACTCAAAGGGAGGTGAGCAGTCCGTGTGCTGATCAGCCTGGAAGCAAAATGTGAGAAAATACAACACAATGTGAATAGCTACAATGAAATTTAAACAAAACCACAATAAGATAAGAAGTGTGGTCTAGATCACTGGTTCTTAACCTTGGGAAAATAGCTACAATGA